AGGGAAAAATGATAGTGGAATTGTGTTGAGATTAATTATGAGTCTATAGTAGAACATGGATAGTATAAAGATTGAGTGAATTAAAGTGTGTATTCTGTGGATTATGGCTGAATATTTTTGGACTTTCCACTCTTGTAAAGGAAGAGTTTCCATTTTGGTTTAAAGTTTATTCTGGCTTTGTTGAAGGTGTTGAAAATGGAGAAGATGATTCAAAGCAGACTCCAATCAGTTTTTTATAGGAAAAGTTAAATATTTGATTTGTCGGCCAAAAATAATTACATTCATTAGCTAAATATACAAACAATATACACTGATTATATATAAAATATGTATATTATATATTAATATATAAAAATATATTTTTTGGCTATTATTATTTTTTAGAATGGGTATATAATGTCAAACTTCTCTGTAACAGTCTCGTTTGTTTCGATATTTTTTGACTGTTGTAGTGAAGTACTATTATAGAGGACATATATTATACAGTCAGTGCTCTCTATAACAGCATCCCTATATAACAGTCATTTATTATAAAAAATAGTATATTATATAGTTTTTCGGTTATTATTTTTTAGAGCGACTATATACTGTCAAACCTCTCTATAACAACTTTGTTTGTTTCGATATTTTTTGGTTGGTATAGGTAGGTACTATTATAGAGAATATATATTATACAATCAGACCTCTTTATAACAGCATCCTTATATAACAGTCATTTATTATAAAAGGCAAGTTTATCTTCTGACCGATTTTCATGTTACGTTATAATATATATTCTTTACAACAACACTTCATTATAACAGTAAAAAAATATCAGAATAAATCGTACTGTTATAAAGAAGTTTGACTTTAACATAGTATAAAAATTGATTTCGAGAAAAACATGACTTTTATAGTGAATGGTTGCTATAAAAGGATGTTGTTATAGAAACGTTTGTCTATAGTATAGTTTTTCCTTTTCTTATATAGGCCCTCGTCTTACCCTCCACTTATAGACAGACACTCCAAACGTAATGCAATTAATTATGGTATTACTATGATATGTCCGCATGATGTTACAAATCATTATCTTTTTTATTGTCTTTGTTGATAAGGAAATGTTGAGTTAAGCTAGCCTAAAAATTACTTTTAAAATGTTATAATTTTTTCCATTTTAAATAAATTCGGACGATTTCTTCCAAAAAGCTTCACAATATTTTATATATAGAGAGATATTCTCGATCTATTCTGCTATCAATGTTAGAATTTAATCGGACGCATAACAATGTCTTCCTCAAACTAAGTTTCACATGCATCAACAAGCCCCTGCACAATTGGACCAGGCATCAACAAGCCCCTCGAACTAAGTTTCACGTGGCATATGACAACGATCCATGATTAACTTTCAAGATTCATTGTTTGTCACTTATATGCAGTGGCGAAGCTAGAAATTTTATCAATGGTGTTCTAATTTGAAAGAAGTGAAAAAAAAATTCAACAAAGGGTGTTCAATATATGTTATATACCTCTAAAATGTATTATTTAACCTATATACACAGTGTAATTTTTTGACGAAGGATGGTCAATTGACCACCCTTATGACCATGTAGCTTCGCCACTGCCTACATATGTATGGTCACCGAAGTGAATAATTTTTTCTTTGCCGAGTCCGTCGTCATCATTCTATCACTTTATACTCATCTCGTCGAACTATCGGCTCTAATATTAATTGTTGGGTTAAGCTAGCTCGAAAATATTTTTAATATCATATGATATTATTCACTTTAGCTAAGTCTGTGGCGATTTTTTCCCAAAATGTCATACCTTTAAAACTATCCTTATTCCAATCTTTTCAGCAGGAAATAACTGACATTAGGATTCATAAATATAAACACTCTGCAGTTCTAATAATATTATATGATGATTGGTTATTAATTGATTTGTTATTATTTTTATGATTTATGCTTACGTTACGATGAATTGTCTCCTTTTGTTTTATTTTCGTCTTATTGAGCTGAGGGTCTATCGGAAAAGTCTCTCTATCTTATCGGGACAGGGGTAAAATTTGCGTATACACTACCCTCTCCAAATCCCACGTTGTGAGATTTTACTGGATCGCAATTGTTATTGTTGGTTATTAATTGAAAAAGGATAAACGGAATTATCAATTTTTTCTAGACAGTCACGTGGGAACATGCAGTGGTTTTGAACCCAAGGTTCATTGACCATTCTCACCACCACTGTATAAAGGACAATTATAGAGATTTGGACGAAGATGAATGTTGCAATTACTTTAATATTTTAAAATAATTATCTCGTATCGATACGTATTGATTCGATTAATTCAAATATTACCTTGCTGTTAAGGTTTTTTTGGGGTTTCTCGCTCGGTGTCCGATATCCATATTGGAATTCGACTATATCCGAATTTACGTCGGATATAAAATCACATTCACAAGCAGTCTCATTCACTGCACCACATCCTTTGATGATACCTTATTGTTAAAGTTCATCAAAGGAGAGTGTGCGTTTCGAATACATTCTCAAAATTCGATACAAAATTTTCAATTAAGAATGGAGGAATTTTATGTGAAAATAAAACGGGCTAGTCAGTTTTCGGATCGGTAATTGAAAAATAGTCACTATTTGGTTGTAACACGAAAAGTTCCAGCATAATATACTGGAGATTGATGCACTTGTGTATGAACTTCCAGCATATGCTGGAACTCCAACACACGGAAAGTTCCAGCATAATATATTGGATATTGGGGCACCTGTGTATGAACTTCCAGCATATTATGCTGGACCAGTATATTATGTTGGAACTCCAATATATTATGCTGAAATATTTTCCGTGTTTTGAACAGTATTTTCGTTCAGATTTATCTTAAAAATTGCTAAATTTCGATTACTCTTAAAACTGTGACTATTTTTCAATTACCACCTGTAAATCTAGTTATTTTTTAATTTCACCTGGATTTTATTAATTACATCATTCTTCCCAGTAATAGTAATTACTTTAACTTAGTGATACATAATGTGGATAATATTTATATATTGATCAATAAGAGATTCTTCACCATATCTTTTCATTTAGTATCAACTTAACCTTTATAAAAGAGTGTTTGCTGCTTTTAATAGAGACTAGACGCTTTCATATAAAAAAAAATATAAAAAAAACTTTTTATATATGTTAATATTCCTCCTTTTTTAGAGAGGAAAAGTACCTTCCACTAATAAAGAAAGTAACGTTTACCGATATCTAGAGAATGACGTTATAAATTCATGCCAGAAACTACTCCCTTCGGTCCAAAATAAGTAATTTTTTGGTATTTTTTTGCAGTCCAAAATAAGTAATTTTTTCAGTTTTCAAGAATGAATTAATTATTTTTTTTCCTACATTATCCTTGGAGTAAATAATGTTGGAATATGTGTTATGAATGTTTATGTGAGATAGTAAAGGTTAACATGGTCAATTTCATTGCTAATTAATGCTAAAAAGTGAGTTTCTTAATCTGTGTGAAAACATTCAAAAAATTACTTATTTTGGACGGGAGAGAGTAGTACACTTGAGTGCCCTAAATGAAAGTGACAATTAGTTTGAATTTATTAATCATGTCTTAGGTCAACAAGGATAACAAGCGCGCTCACATAAACGGATTCAGAATTTAAAGCTTACGAGGCTTTACAATAACTTCAAATTAATATTTAAATATTTATAAATATTACTAATGAATTTCTTAATATAAGAAGTTTGAGCAAGAATTATTGGCTTCACGTGAATCCATAAATTAGATGCTAAATTCACCTCTACCGATATTTCACATGCATTTGAACATTCAATATAACGCTCCGACATACGTGCCTTCCAAAATTAGAATATTTAAATCTGTTACATACTGAATTTTTCAAATAGCTCATGATATTCCTCTTCTCTACCATGATATTGAATTATTATTTTTCAGAAAGGTAAGGCAGATGCATAAAATATTCGCGTTTTACGCAGGGTTCACTATTAGAAATTCGCCAAAAACCGACAAAAAAAATCGATCAAAATTGGTCGGTTATGGCCAATTGCCGATCAAAACACGACCATTTACGTGTGAACGGTATTTTGACGGTCGGAAAAAAATACCGATCAAAGTTAGTCGGAAATTACCGACTAACGTTGGTCGGTCAATTAAATTAAAAAAATAACGACCAAAGTTAGTCGGTATTTTAATTATATAATTAAAAGATTCACCATCTAGGAATCGAACCGGGGTGTGTATTGTGGCAGGATACTATTCTACCACTAGGCCATTGGTGCATTTTATTTTAAGATTGTCTTTTTTTTAATTTATACTCTTTAATTGTATTTTCGCACGAAAATAACCGACCAAAGTTGGTCGATTTTATTAAAAAATAAAATTACCGACAAAAGTTGGTCGATTTTTTAAAATGACTGGCCGAATTTACCGACCAAAGTTTGGTTGGTTTTTTTAATATTAATTTTTTTTATTCTAATTGAAAAACCGACCAAAGTTGGTCAGTTTCTTAAAAAAAATAAATTTCACGGGACTCAAAAATAGTTTCCCTCATTTTTGCGCCAAAAAAAAACGATCAAAGTTGGTCGATTTCGTAAAAAAAAATTAAAAAATAAAATATTTTGAAAAACCGACCAACTTTGGTCAGTTTTTTGACCAGCCAAAGTTGGTCGGTTTTTCTTGGTCGGTTTGTGCCGAATTTCTAATAGTGCTCCGAAATAAATCGCACCTGAGAGGTGTGATGTTAGCAACCTATACCATATAAACATCAGTAGTTGATTCCACGTATCAAACTCGTAACATATGGTCATATTCATATTCGACTAAAAATATGTTGACGTAACTCCAAATTCAAACTGAGCTTGCAGATTCGCTGTTCTCCGCGGGATATGCTACTTCGTGCTGGTGTTAAGATGAAATACCTTTAGATCTCACATTGGAACATATGTTTGTTTGGACAGAATAGATAATACGAGTATTGATCAGATGCAAATATGACTGAAAAAACGATTTTATTGAAAAGAACTGAGGTTTGGTGCAATATCAAGTTACAACAACAACAACGACCCAGAATAATCCCACAAGTGGGGTCTGGGGAGGGTAATATGTACGCAGACCTTACCCCTACCCCGAAGGGTAGAGAGGCTGTTTCCAGGAGACCCTCGGCTCAAAAAAATGACTCTACAACTATCAAGTTACAGAAGTAGAATCACCCAAATGACTCTTACAGACAATGTAAAAAATGTCAAAATTTGAAAACAACCTTTGACCTCAGGCCTTCAATGAGAGACTAATATACAACTATACAAGCTTGTTCTTCACTGGAACAAAGCATTGGTAAAAAAAATGTTGCAGAAAGCAGCTGGCCACAGCAGATACAAAGGCAGAGCAACAAACAATTGGCCACAAAATACCTGTGATCCAACTGAACTTGTATACTTATTAAGGCAGCAGAAATTACTCACTGGTGCATATCATCGACTCGTCGATGCAACAAAATTTCAAGCAAAGAAGATAACCAAGTGCTCTTCGGTGCATCTTTAAATCATATCTGAGGAAGCCAGAATATCAAGTTGAGCTATACTGGCTTGGCACTAGTCTCTGCATGCAGTGGTGGAGCTAGCATTAATGGTACAGGTTCGCCCGAATCCAGTCACTTTGGTCCAAACTCTATATTTGTCTTAAGAAATTCATTTAATATGCAGATCTTAATTGACTTGAAACCTTATTTTGCGACGAGTCAAATTTCAAATAAGCATGGCTTCTTGAACTATGAAACGTGTATAAAACCTGCAATAGATGATCCAAAGGCTGCATAGAGCTTTACACTTTATTTCTCGAGAGCCATAGGATGACACTTACATATTGTGAAACCATCATTTATTTCCGGAAGATGCATGATGTTCCACGAACTTCCATGAAGGCCTGCTAGCATTAGACACGGGTTTTCCGAACTCAAGCAGTCCTTTCAGCCATTTAATTTTGTTTGCAAGTTCCTCCAAATCCAAAATCGCTGCCTCCATTGAGTCAGAACCCATTGAATGTAACCGAACACCATCACTGGTTCTAAACTTCTTCAAAGGACAATTGGAAAGGTAAAAGTTTTCAGTTGTCTCAGCGGTTTTTGCTGGATCAATTGCAATACAGGACGTAGAACCATTATCTGACCAACTGGCTTCCTTTTCTAATTTATCTCCCAACTGAGAACCAGAATTAATATCTGACCGACTGACTTTCTTTGATGTGTTCGCAGCTTCCTTTGGAAGGTCAATGATCGAGGATTGTTCTACTAACCCTGTGGTTTTAAAATCCTTCGTTTCCTCTGAGCCTGGGAGCGAGTTTGCGTATAAATTAGTAGGTGAAGAAAGATGTGATGAAGACCCAGCTGTTGCTTGGCTGTCCTTTCTCCCTTCACTCATGGAATGCATTTCCAAAGCTGGAAAGCGACCAAGGGCTGCAATGATCATGACGAGCATTTCAAAAACTAAGATGAAGGATTTTCTTTATCGCAAACTAATTCTCGTTTTACAAAGAATACAGAGACACATAAGAATTAGTTGAAACAAAATTCTAAGTGCCATTATACAACCTAATGGCAAAAGAAGTAACAGTAATCAGCCCAAAATGACAAATGGAAACCATGATAAAAAAAATGCAATAAATTTTCAACCTTTTCTTACCCTTAATAAAATAATTTATAGCCATACAAATATCTATGGCTTGTTTTTTTACCACAAATTTAAGTCTTTCTTTCTTAAACTCCGTGTCTAGACAAGCAACATCACCTAAAATGGGACAGATGGAGTGGTTACTAATGCCTTATATAAAAAAAATCATTTCGCGGTAAACAGAGGACATCAAGAAAGTTCTACAATGGCTTCACAAATTTTACACTGCTAGGGGGCTAAAAGAAATTCATAAAGTTCCTTTAGCATTTCATTCCCTTGATTCACCGGAAAACAAGGCACTTCTTTACCCATAACGGTTGTGATTTGTCTTAGATTTTCCCTCCATTAGCCTTTCGGTCCATGAAAGCCCCCAACATTATCTCTCGTTTCAAATATGCCCCTCTGTATGACCGTTTTCCAACGTGGAAAAATTGGTCTGGTTTGGCTTACACAGTGAATGCCACATAGGATATATTTGGACTTTTTTAATTGTTCAGGGTTGTTCTATTCAATTGCTCAAGACCATGCTTCAAATTATGGGACAAAATCAATGGACCGAAAGGTAAATGGAGGGCAAATGTAAGACAAATCGAACACTTCAGGGTAAATCTGCCACAGCAATTGAAGCTACCAAATAATGCATAGAGGAGTTATATCCCAAATTTCCTAACTGTTTTTTTTTTTTTTTGAGAAGGAAATTTCCTAACTGTTTTATGAACCAAACAGCTTCTCCACATAGACAAACATATTACCATCCTTAACGGAAACCTGTTCACGCACATACTCTATAAGCCTGATATATTGAACAAATTGTCTTCACGTCCATGACACAAAGCAAAGTTTTGTCAACAACCAAAGGAAGGAGTTAGTTTTACATTATAGTTACCTTGGTTGACAGGTTGAATTAGTTGAGCACATCGACGGACACTATCACCATCCTGCAATTATCAAGAAACAATTTTAGGCAGAAAGAAGCATTACACAAAGGAGTATACACCAGAGTACAAGTCAAATAGCATTATTTTCAATACTAGAATTGATGGATAAGATGCATTGATGCTACTCATAGGAAAACTCCTTGAGGAAAAAGATACAATACAAAGAACAGTGTTTTTGTCTCTTTTTCTTTTGTACTTCTTTTTGAGTTGGGGGATCTGCCAGAAGTAACAAGAAAGCCAGAGAAGACAGGGAAGGAGAAAGAGGAGATAGAAGGATGAAACAGATGATGAGGAAGAACTTAGAGGCTGTGTAGCGATTCAAAAGCGTGCAGAAATAATTCGTCATCTCGAGGAGAGAGGTGAAATCAGAACAGATACTGCAAATATTTTAGATGTTAAGCAGTTCCCATAATAGAAAATTTTACCCTTGTAGAAATTTTAAATTATGTAAACCACATTATATTAGTTTGTAGGGAAAGAGAAACATAAAAAAGCAACAACATAGGCAAAAAGAAGAGTAAAAGTAAGAACCTGGGATGCAAGAACAGTCCAACCAAAATTTGGGGACCAATCTAAGGATGGGCGTAAATCTTTGAAATGAATTTCATAAAGTGCACCTTCACCAATAGGAGGTGGTGTCAATGCCATCTGCGAAGACATAAACATAGAGCAGAATGTTATCATTGCAATTGTGGGAGAACATATGAAGCTATTACTTTTTCACACAGGACAGAGTTGGCAGAAGATTATTTTAAGCACTAGTCTTCTAGCTCAGCATAAACTTGCTGAATTTGATATATCACATCAACTTGAAGAAACAGATCTTGAGGAACAACATTTTAGTTTGTAACAAAAACAACAACAAAGCTAGTGTAGTCCCACAAGTGTAGAACAACGTTTTTAGGTTGACCCAAACACCAAATGTCAATATCTCAAGAAAATTGTTGTGTTATCAAAAATAAAGTTAGAGAAAAAAAGTTGCAGTTGTCACTTCTAAATTACAACATCTTCATGTTTGTCCATTTGACCATGTTGAAGGTACTTCAGCGAATTTCTATTACTACCCGGAGGCAGCAGTGGAAAATATTAAATTTTATTAACAAAAGAAATGAACATCTCTTTATTAAAAAAAGAGATCTCCTTGACACTGGAAGGGAATCTATAGAATATGCATCATGCTCAGGTCTTCTAGTCGGATATATGCAAGGACCTCTGCAAAAATCAAAAGCATGACCTGCCGCTTTTACGTGTCATGCAAAAATAAAGATCAGGACCTTATGCGCTTTTGGATCCTGCGATATGACATGCCTCCACTGGCTCAAGTTCCCAAGTGGTACTAAGTTGTTTAATCAATACAAGTGCATTCTAAGACAATGCTAAGCTCTAAGTAATCATAAAGGGTTCACTTCTTCCTCCATTAAATGGATTAGACCAAAATATGCCGGAGTAAACTTCTCACAAATGTAAAATCCATTATACCTTCTTAAGAAAACTCAATAATACAGAGCTCAAAACCATAATCAGCACCTCATGAGTGGATCCTGCGATATGACATGCCTCCACTGGCCCAAGTTCCCAAGTGGTACTAAGTCGTTTAATCAATACAAGTGCATTCCAAGACCATGCTAAGCTCTAAGTAATCATAACGGGTTTCACTTCTTCCTCCATTAAATGGATTAGACCAAAATATGCCGGAGTAAACTTCTCACAAATGTAAAATCCATTATACCTTCTTAAGAAAACTCAATAATACAGAGCTCAAAACCATAATCAGCACCTCATGAGCTAGCTTTTGGAATTGAGTTAGGCCCACTAACCATTTTCTTATCGTGGTACCAGAACTAGGTTCATCCCAATTCATTGTTTACGCGATATTGGCCCCCATCTTATATTGGCCATGCTCAAGATGTCCAGTCCTGGCATGCGGAGGGTGTTGAGTCCCACATCGACTCTTTAGAGATGGGATGGTCTCCCTATATTCCCTATATGGTCTTGGACAATCATCACCTCATGAGCTAGCTTCCGGTATTGAGTTAGGCTCAAGGTCCATCTTCTTATCATTGAGAGTCGAGGGAAAATCCCCCTCCCCCATCCAAAGCATAAAAAGAACACAAAAAAATGAGAAGAAAACCAAAAAATGTAATACCAGATTTAGATTAAACTTAAAGAGAATCCACCTTATCCCAAACTTCTTCATTACCAAATATGAAGACTAAAACCACATTTTCTTTAGCAATAAAGATAAGGGTAAATTCGATACCTAATATTAAGTATATTTGAGTGTCAATGGTGCCATCATATATCTGCGTTTAACATCAGACTCGGGTTTCAGTAACATCTTACTGCCAAGACCATTAAGACTTTGGACTAAACAAAGAATGTTGTCTAGATATTATGCCAAAAAGATATATGATATATGTATGATTACAAATTGTATCAAAGCTGAACTGATATTGAAGAGCTGGCCCTCAGGCCTCATCAAGTAACCCTTCTTTTATTATTAACAATAACCACCCAGTTAATATGGAATATAACAAAATTTACCTCAGCTTTACTGTTGCCAAGTAACTTTGTCAGTCGCCCAGACCAATAACAGCCATTAGCCCACCAATCAACCAAATCACCTGCCTGCCAATTACCATCTACAACTATCATAGCATCAGAAATTGAACTGAAACCTGAAACTTCATTTTTAAGCTTGACTGGAGGATACTGCGGCCGCAGCATTAGTTGCTTTTTGTCCTTCAACTTCCCAATGTTATATGGGGGCATTTGGAACAGCCTCATCCAAGTCAGTTCTGTAACGTCAGGGATTGAAACGATTAGCATGCATTTGTAGATGTAGCAACAGTCTTACCTGAAAACACCTAATATCTCTATTTACAAAACAAGTCTCTAACACTGTAAAAGATAAGAACATTTTGGGTAGCTATTCTCAGTTTAGCGTTTATCTGTCTATACCATTATTCCAAATCTAGGACAAGCTTAACACTTTATTTTCAGATGAATAAGAAATAACACTTCCATCATATCTTCTTCATTCAATGATTTTTAGATGTCCAGTACCTAGAAAGTAACCTCCAAATTAAGCAAATAGTGTGCTAATGAAGACTTTAGCATCTATACTGCAAGATATAAAGCCCTCAGCAATGAGTACTGATGAATTCAAATGCTGAAATCAACACATCAGAAAACATACTTTCATCTGGATAATCAAAATATTCCAATCGCGCATTCCAATGTCCTCTTTTGTTGTTAATCTCCTTTATCTGGTACAGTAGGAAAAAGAGAGTAAATGCATTGTACTCCACTTCTTTATCAGTAAATGACTTTATTCTCACCAAAACATATAAGTAAACTCAACAAGTAAGACCTGGAGAATTGACAATACATGGATTACAAACAACAATAACAGCTTTTGGTTCCAAATGTAGGTACAGCAACAGTGGCTCTCAATAAAGAGATAACTCCATAAAGGTTTAATGTAGAAGATAGTAACAGAAGTTTTACTGCCTAGAGAACTTAACTAAAGAGTTGTAAATAATAAGCCACAAAGATTAAACAAAAGATTGAGAATATGAAAGAGCGTACCCTTTATATCATGCAATTGTCTTATAAACGTGATTATTAGTCTAAAGAATTATAGGACACCATTCCTAATTAATGAACTGCATAATTTACTCATGTAGTTTCCTTGTGCAAATTAGAAATTTGTCTACTTATACAATTTCTTTGATTATGCAGATGTCTTACTCCTAATCATATGCAACAACAACAATCCAGTGGATTCCCACAAGTGGGGTCTGGGGAGGGTACCCTAGGAGGGTAGAGAGGTTGTTTCCAAAAGACCTTCAGCTACAGAAGTTTTAATCACATGCACCACACAAAATGATGTCCATACAGGATGCCCCCCC